AGGAGTTTGTAAGCCTCCGAGTGAAGGGCAGGGTATAAATCCAATCTCATCGTCGTCTTCTTTAACTGGATGGCCTGGTTCTTCGTGACCAGCTCGGAGGGACTGGGAGGGAAAAGTGAAGAGGCGGCTTAACATGCCATTAACATATTACGGGGAGGAAGGAGAGGCCGCCCATTAACCCAGTTTTGCATTTTCCTTTATGTTTCTTTTTCCGACAGCCACCTCGAAGCCTTTGGTGCGGGAGGTGACATCATTAGCGAGCTATTTCTGCGCTCCATTGCTAAGCGACGGTTAATAATTACAGTATTCCCCCATCTCTCCTCGGGTGGCGGCGCAGTATCCCAAATGTGCCCACTGTAAAATGTCAGACGCTGCCATTGTGTTCCAGAGTCCCATTAAACACCTGTTCAATTACGTTCTCGCCCGTGGTGTTCCTACCTGCGGTTTCCATTATGATTCCGAGAAACCCTTTCCCCTCCATTGTTTGGCTAAGTGTTCCGCTAGGCTGTCCCAGCCTTCTGAATGTGATCTGGCAGGTATTAGGTTTGGGGCAAACCTGTAGCCGACCCGGTGGAAGCCGTCGATTTGGAGCTGTGTCCCCTACCTGGTTCTGCGTGGCTGCCCAGTTGGAGGCCAGGCAGAGCGCTGTGCTTGCCCCCTTCCTCCTGTTCACGTGGCTTTGACCGCCCTGGCCCGGGTACGCCAGGCAAGTCCGATCTCGTCAGATCTCGGAAGCTAAGCAAGGTCGACTTGTGGTTAGTTCTTGGATGGGAGACCTCCTTGGAATACCAGAGTCGGGAGGGTGGGGGCAGGCTTTGTTCAGCCCCCTCTCTGAATATCCTCCAGGCCCCCAGTAGGGGTCAGTCACCAGAGGTTGACGTGACTTCCAGTTGCAGACACACGCACATCAGTGTTCCCTCTAAGCTGTGGAGTCTTGTGAGCAAAAATTCTTCTTTGTGAGCTACTGGCATTAAAGCTGTGAGCGAGCGATTTGGCTACTGCGTATATTAGTTTGCTGTGGAGCCACCCTTCCTGAGCTAAGACAAAAATATGTGAGCTGGAGGCTAAAAAACTGTGAGCTAGCTCACACTAACTCAGCTTAGAGGGAACACCTGACGCACATACATACACACACACACAAAATACAAAAATACCAAAAGAAGAAGACGACATTGGATTTATACCCCACCCTTCACTCGGAGTCTCAGAGCAGCTTACAAACACCTTTCCCTTCCCCTCCCCACAACAGGCACCCTGTGATGTAGGTGGGGCTAAGAGAGCTCTCTCGAGAACTGCCCTGGAGAGAACAGCTCTGAGAGAACTTGTGATTGACCCAAGGTCACACCAGCAGCTGCAAGTGGAGGAGTGGGGAATCAAAACCCCCAAACAAACATTGCTTTGACTGTAGAACAGATTTTGAGTCCAGCGGCAGCCTTAAGACCGACAAAGGTTTGCTCAAGGTATGAAACCTTTGTTGGTCTTAAAAGTGCCACTGGACTCAAAATCTGTTCTACTGCTTCCGTCCAAAATGGCTGCCCACCTGGATTGCTTTGACCAGTTATGGTGGGTGTGTGCCCGATAATGTGGCTGTGTAAAATGAAGAGACCTCTGTGGCTGTCTCCGTGAACTGAAATTTGCGAGCTCTGGTCATCTTCAGAGGCCCTCCTTCTGTTGCCCACACGATCTGAGGCTAGATGGATGTTAACCCAAGACAGGGCCTTCTCGTGCGTGGCCCCAACACTTTGTAACTCCCTCCCCAGGTCGATATATCTTCCTCCCTCTATCAGTGACTTCCACCACTTGGTGGAGACTTTCTTGTTAAGGGTGATTGGCCTTTCTCCTTGGTTCTGGTGGGGTTTGGGTGTTTTTATGGAATTACTTTTATAATTTTAATGTTTTTAATTGTTCAGATGTCTTGAAGTTATTTGTGCAAATGCCTAAGAAAAGTTTTTGATTTGATGTTTTTAATGTTTTCTACTTTGTGGACCCCGACCAGGTGGAAAGACGGCATTAAAAATTGTTTCAATAACATTAATTAATTGCCATGCAATGGATAGTGGAACGTAATTCGGAATGGTAGATTGGAATGTCTTTCTCTGGTCTGGGAACAGAGGAGACAATACTGCACAACGAATTACCCAGCCTTAAAGAAAAGGATGCTATTAGATAGAGTGTAACAACAGGGTCTCGGTTAATCACTCTCAGCATCCCACAATTAAGAAGGGCACATTTACACATCAGTCTCCAATTCTGAGATTTTTTATTTGTTTCACTATGTTTTCTCCCAGGTAATTAAATCCAAACAAATGGTGACCATATAAACTAAGCTTGTTATTCCTGTTTGATCCTTGCATCTGTTAAAATGTCTTCATTACACTGTATGTTACTTGCTGCTCATCCTCTACCTATATGTATGGACTGGTAACTTCCATTTCAGTGTATCTGAGGAAGTGTGTGTGCGCACGACAGCTCATTCATACCTTGAATAAAACTCTGTGGGTCTTAAAGGTGCCACTGGAATTGAGTTCTAATTGATTAATGAAAACTCCCATTTGTGCCCATGGTGGCAGGGAGCAGTACCAATGTGGGAGGAGGAGGAAGCAACTTTTGAACGCTCCTACCCTGAGCCTGCCCTGGCGGAGAGAGGGCAAGTTGTAAATCAAATAAATAAATAAATAAATAAAGGCCATGGAAATAAAACATTGATGTACCAGGAAATGAGGTTCTTCTCAGCCCCTCTTCCTTCGCACGCTGTTTTCCTCTACTTCTGTGGAATTCTCTTTTTTAAGAACATCGGAAGCTGGATCAGACCAATAGTCCATCTAGTCCAACCTCCTGTCTCACGCAGTGGCCAGCCAGTTCCTCCGGAGGGCCAGCAACAGGGCACAGAGACCATGGCCTTTCCCTGATGTTGCCACCTGGCTCTGAGATTCAGAGGCTTAGTGCCTCTGAATGTGGGGGTTCTCCTCCGTCACCATGGCTAGGAGCCATTGATAGACCTCTCCTCCATGAGTCTATCCAGTCCTCTTTCAAAAGCTGTTTATTCCTGTGGCCATCACGGCATCCTCTGGCAGCCAGTTCCACATTTTGATCACTCTCCGTGTAAAGAGGTATCTCCTTTTGTCCGTCCTGAACCTACTGCCCATCAGCTTAATTTCCCCACCCCCCTCCATGCATGGCGCATTAAGAAATGTGATCCCCACCTCTGGTCTGCAGTAGTATCATCCGCTCTGCTGCATGTATATGACCCCCGCACACACAGCTTAAGGGGGGTATTTCCTCCTGTGAATAGGATTGTGCCACTGCAGGGCACAGCTGGCTTGCCGCAATAGCTGCCAGGCTATTCCTGGTCCCCGCGGCGCCAACCAGTTCCCTTTAAGGCCATACATGACATGGGCAGTGTTCCCTCTAAGCTGAGTCAGTGTGAGCTAGCTCACAGTTTCTTAGCCTCTGGCTCAAACGTTTTCCGACTTCGCTCTGGAAGGAGGGCTCCAGAGCAAACTAATTTGTGCAGCAGTCAAATCTCTCGCTCACAACTTTTAATGCCAGTAGCACACAAAGTAGAATTTTTGCTCACAAGACTCCTCAACGTAGAGGGAGCATTGGATGTGGGCCTATTGAATGCTCTCGGCTCCCTTCAGATCCATTTTTATTTATTTATGTATGTTATTAATAGTCCACCTTTCTCACTTGGACTCAAAGTGGATGACACAGAATGAGTCAGTAGCAGCAGCAGGACGGGATGTTCAGTAAGCAACGTGAATAGGAATTCGGGTAGAACCAACCAAAAGTCTAAAAGCAGAACTGAAGCAGAGCGTTAAGTATTAACATAACACATTAAATGACGGGATTTTCCCCCCGTAGCAGGATTTTCGTTTCAACAAACTATACGCGGGAGTATAGACCACAGTTCCTAATAATTTTTTCTGAGTAACTTTGTGGATCATTTGAAGAAGAAAAGATTGGATTTATACCCCACTCTTCACTACCCAAAGGAGTCTCAGAGCGGCTTACAAACTCCTTTCCCTTCCCCTCCCCACAACAGACACCCTGGGAGGTAGGTGGGGCTGAGAGAGCTCTTTCAAGAACTGCCCTTTCAAGGACAGCTCTTGTTAGAACTATGGCTTGCCCAAGGTCATCCAGCAGGTGCATGTGGAGGAGTGTGGACTCAAACCCGGTTCTCCCAGATTAGAGTCCGCACACTTAACCACTACACCAAACTGGCTCTCAGTTTGAGGTTCCGCAACTCCGTTCCAGTGCAACTCCGTTCCGGCGCATTCCCCCAGAAAAAAGCCCTGCTTGCGTCTACACGGATAAAGCTCTCATTGCAAGGGATTTTCTCGTAGCGCCCTGATAGTTTTGTGTGTTGTCCCCCCCAGTCCTCATGAGAGTCTCGAGCGGAACGCCTCCTAGAAACTTTTAGGAAGAACATGTAACACATTTTTATCCGGGCAAGTTTTTGTGAGCTGAATTCTCACGTGCCCCGTTATAAGCTTGTTTGTGGATATGCACGCTTAGGACCGGGCGAGCGGAAAGCATATGTTCGCCCCAAAGCTTTAGGGAGGATTTCTTTGCCAGACAGGAAACACACTGCCTGAGACACACTAATGACATTATGGTGTACTAATTGCCGTAAACAACCGAGTACCACTGGGTGCAGTTGCCTGTGTGCAGTAGCACATACTTAAGCAGCGTCAAGCTCAAATTCACGCTGCCGGAGAATAAGATTACAGCGCTTGTGCCAAACGGGTCCTGATTATTTTAGGACCGGGTTCTTGTTTTGGCCTCTCAAGCTGTGTTGAGGTTTAAAATCCGCTTCCTGTTCGTCTAGTTTCCTACGCTGAGGGGGTCCTGGGAGGAGCCGGGAGCCGAGATCGACTTCTGACCGTAGCATGCATGCGCACACCCAGAGGTCCTTACTGACACGTCCTGTGCTTGTTTTCCGAACCAGTGCTGCAGCAAGATGCAGTCTCAATGCAGTGAATTTGACACTTGGAAACATGCGGTTACTGCGACGCTTGGGATTTGAATGCCTTGGCAGAGTCTGTGATGTAGGGACTGCCGGTTGTCTTGCGGGAGAGGCTAGAAGGTGGTGGAGTCGTGGCACACATGAGGAAAACATACCCAGAGGCAGTGTTCCCTCTAAGCTGAGCCAGCGTGAGCTAGCTCACAGTTTCTTAGCCTCCGGCGCACACATTTTTTTGTCTTATGTCCGGAAGGGATGTATCCAGAGCAAACTGATTTATGCAAGTAGCCGAATCGCCGGCTCACAACTTTAATGCCAGTCGCCCACAAAGTAGAATCGTTGCTCGCAAGACTCCACAGCTTAGAGGGGTGCATCTCATCTTTTGTGTTCCCGAATCTCAAACCTGATGCCTGTGGCATTTGAGAAGGACCATTCTCTGGGGGTTTTTTGACCTATGTTCACTTTTTGTTGTTGTTGTTGTTCAGAATTTGGCATACCTGTTCTTGAACTGTTTATGGGTAGGTGAATTTGTTCTCGACCGTGCAAGGTATTGTCTGTGTACGATCCCACAGCACCTGACCATCTGTGGGAGGCTGGGTACATGACCTCAGCTGAATCAGCCTGAAAGCACAACTCCTTTCATTCGCTCCCCCAGTTTGGCCTAGAGCAGGGGGGTGTCAAACGTAAGGCCCGGGGGCCAGAACCGGCCTGTCCAGGGCTGTCATGCGGCCCGCAAAGCAACTAGTGCAGTGCAAGGGAGGGAACAGGAGTGTGTGGCCTATGCAAATGAGTTGTGCTAATGAGCTCCTGCACATCTTTTTCTACAAAATGACCCCTGCACATAGTGGTGATGTGAATAACATTCTCTGTGGTGAGAGTAACCCAGTGCAGTCGGCAACAGTTGGAAAGACGCAAACATCCCATTAAAACATGCTTGTAGTTGATCCCACTGACTTGCGTAGGTCTTGCTCCATCTAGGCAAAACGGAGAGGGTCTCCCGACTTCTGTGCGGTGTTCCCTCTAAGCTGAGTTAGTGTGAGCTAGCTCACAGTTTTCTAGCCTCCGGCTCACACATTTCTGTCTCGGCTCAGGAAGGAGGGCTCCAGGGCAAACTGATTTATGCAGCGGCCAAACCGCCCGCTCACAACTTTAATTCCAGTAGCTGGCCAAGTAGAATTTTTGCTCACAAGACTCCACAGCTTAGAGGGAGCATTGCTTCCGTGCAATATGACGCTTGGGGGCAGGAGCTGAATATCATTTGCTAATGACCCACCAGGGCAGTCCAAAACAAGCACTCCTAAGAAATCACCTCAGCGGGCATGAAGATGAATTGCTTTCATAAAGCGTGTGTTCAGGGCGGACACAATAAATAAAGTTTCTTTTCCCCGGCTCTTGATGCTTGAATTCCCTTGCCTTGGAGTTCCTGGGGTGTAATTTGGCTTTCAAATGTAGCTCTAATCCTTTCCCCCTGGGCCGCTTTTAAGCAGGGCAAAAGAAAAAAAGGAATATTGATTAGATCTCTCTTTCCACCTTTTTGTTAGTATGCTCAGGGCAACGCACATCCAAACCATGTACCTGCCTTCTCCCCTCCTGGCAAAAGTGCAATTTTCTATCAGGGCTGTCAGTTGACCCCCATACACACACCTGCCTTGCCCTAGGTTGCTTTGGGGGGTCAAATTACTTGTTCCAAACGTAGAATAGTTTGCATCATTCAGTTCTCAGTTGGGACATTACTGTTGGGTGAAGCTGTAACGTACAACCAGGGCTATTTTTGGGGCAGGAACGCACAGGAACGGAGTTCTGGCTGGCTTCCAAGTTGGCCATGCCCAGCAGGAACTCGTTAGCATAATAGGCCACACCCAACAGCAGGCACTCATTAGGATTGGCTACATTAGGGGGTGTGGCCTAACATGCAAAGGAGTTCCTGCTACAAAAAAAGCCCTGGGTTTTGACAACAAACAAGGTAAACAGAATAAGAAGCAAAAGGTGGGTGTGGCTGGATGACCACACTTCTGGTAACATGGGGGGGCGGCCTAATGTGCTAATGAGCTGTGCTGTCAGGGGTGTGGCCCAATAGGCTAATGAGTTCCTGCTGGGCTTTTTCTACAAATGAAGCCCTGCGTACAACAGTTAACTTAGTATTTTCCCTCTGTTTCTAAGAGGTGCCAGCTACTCAAGTGATACATCTTGCCTCTAGTAGAATATATAGGCTTGTTGGTTGTCAGGGTGAAAAATGTTATCAGTAGAAGAAGAGGAGAAGAGATTGAATTTATACACCACCCTTCACTACCCTAAGGATTCTCAATGCGGCTTACAATCCCTTTCCTTTCCGCTCCCCACAACAGACACCCCGTGAGGTAGGCGGGGCCGAGAGAGCTCTCACGAGAACTGCTCTAGAGAGAACAGCTCTGAGAGAACTCGTGACCGACCCAAGGTCACATCAGCAGCTGCATGTGGTGCATGTGGAGGAGTGGTGAACCAAACCCGGTTCTCCCAGACTGCGCTTCTAACCACTACACCAAACTAGCTCTCAGTTATAAGTAACTTTGTTATAAATAACTTTGGTTAACTTTTGTGGCCTCAGAGGTTTTAGCAGGAATATGTAATTTGTGGCGTTCAGTAACATCCCCATGTTGACATTAAGGGGAGGGGCTCAGTGACAGAGCATCTTCTTGGCATGTAGAAGGTCCCAGGTTCTATCCCCAGCGTCTCCAGTTAAAAGGACCAGGCAGGAAGTGATGGGAAAGACCTTGACCTGAGACCCTGGCTCAGTGGTAGAGCCTCTGCTTGGCATGTAGAAGGTCCCAGGTTCAATCCCTGGCATCTCCGGTTAAAAGGACCAGGCAGGAAGTGATGGAAAAGACCTTGACCTGAGACCCTGGCTCAGTGGTAGAGCATCTGCGTGGCATGCAGAAGGCCCCAGGTTCAATCCCCGGCATCTCCAGCTAAAAGGACCAGGCAGGAGGTCATGGGAAAGACCTTGACCTGAGACCCTGGCTCAGTGGTAGAGCATCTGCGTGGCATGCAGAAGGCCCCAGGTTCAATCCCCGGCATCTCCAGCTAAAAGGACCAGGCAGGAGGTCATGGGAAAGACCTTGACCTGAGACCCTGGCTCAGTGGTAGAGCATCTGCGTGGCATGCAGAAGGCCCCAGGTTCAATCCCCGGCATCTCCAGCTAAAAGGACCAGGCAGGAGGTCATGGGAAAGACCTTGACCTGAGACCCTGGCTCAGTGGTAGAGCCTCTGCTTGGAGACGTAGGCGCCCACGTAGCACAGGATGCCCGCTGCCGCCTGTTGGGGCAAAACCGGAATCAGAGCTCTGCCACACGACGGCAAGTTTCTTTCAGGTCCCCGTACAATACCGATTACCCTACTCTGGTTTCTGAGTTCGCACTCAGCACTTGCATTGAACCTTGTATAACGTGTGAATGCTAGAGTTAGCACGGATCACCCGTCCGGTGCTATAAACTGTGTTGGGCTCGTGGATTTGCAAATCCACGAGCCCAACACAGTTTATAGCACCAGACGGGTGATCCGTGCTAACTCTAGCATTCACACGTTATACAAGGTTCAATGCAAGTGCTGAGTGCGAACTCAGAAACCAGAGTAGGGTAATCGGTATTGTACGGGGACCTGAAAGAAACTTGCCGTCGTGTGGCAGAGCTCTGATTCCGGTTTTGCCCCAACAGGCGGCAGCGGGCATCCTGTGCTACGTGGGCGCCTACGTCTTCATCACGTACGACGACTACGACCACTTCTTCGAAGATGTCTACACGCTCATCCCTGCTGTGGTTATCATAGCGGTGGGCACGCTCCTCTTCATCATCGGTCTCATCGGCTGCTGCGCCACCATCCGAGAGAGCCGCTGCGGGCTGGCCACAGTAAGTGGGCGCCGCCATTTGGAAGGACCTCCCCGCCTTTTTTGCCCTCATGTTGCGACCGATGCGTGGTCAGGCCCGTAGCCGGGATGTTGTGGCTCTTGGAGCATTTTTTTTTTCTGGTGCGGCTGAAGTTCTCCGTGCAGAAAGAAAAGCCACTGAGTCAACAGGAAGCTGCGACCAGGATAGATCTCTAAATTGCAAGCTGTGAACCACTCTAGATGACAGTTCTCAGCTGCTGCAAGTTAATCACTTCTGCCAGCCTAAGTGACAATTCTGAGAACAAGCCGGCAGGTGGGGGTGAGGACTTTTATAGTTCAGAAAGCTCACACTTAGGCAGAAAAACTCTCTTAAAGGAGGACCAGTTTCTTGACACCGAGTTAGAAGGGATCCTAGAGGTCACCTAGGCAGAAAAACTCTCTTAAAGGAGGACCAGTTTCTTGACACCGAGTTAGAAGGGATCCTAGAGGTCACCTAATCCAACCCCCTTGGCTCAGTGCAGGAATTAGTCCACTACAGCACCCCAACTCCGCTTAAAGGAGCACACGCCTTTTAAAAACTGTTTTCATATGATTGGATAAAGCCTTTACAGGAGAAATGCTTGTGCGGCTGTGCCTTTAAGAAAGGGGGCAGAGCCCTCCAAAGCCCCACCACCACCACCACCATGGCTACAGGCCTGCACATGGTCACCCTGTAGGGTTTTCGAGGCAAGAGATGTTCAGAGGTGGTTTGCCACGGCCTGCCTCCACCTGTTACCGTCCAGATACTAACCGGGGCCGACCAGGCTTAGCTTCCGAGATCTGACAAGACCAGGCTAGCCGGAGCTACCCTTCCCTTTTAAAAAAAAGTGTGTGTCCATGTGTGCACCTGGAAGTCATGGCGACCTCTGGTGACTGACCCCTACTGGGGGGCCGGAGGATATTCAGAGAGGTGGCTGAATAAAGCCTGCCCCCACCCTCCCGACTCTGGTATTCCAAGGAGATCTCCCATCCAGGGACTTGCCAGAGTCGACCCTGCCTAGGTTCCGAGATCTGACGCGATCGGGCTTGCCTGGGCTATCCAGGTCAGGCCTGGGCTATCCTTCCCTTTACCTGGTGATAAAGTGGCGCATCGTGCTGCGCATCATTCCAAATGGCCACAGGAGGTGGCGGCGGCTACAAGCACGGACGGCTTCAAGAGGGAATTGGATAAACACATGGAGCAGAGATCGATCAGTGGCTATTAGCCAGAAGGTATAGATAGGAACTCTCGGTCTGGGGCAAGGGATGCTCTGTATTCTTGGCGCTGGGGGGGCAACAGTGGGAGGGCTTCTGGAGAGAACGGTGACTGGCCCAAGGTCACCCAGCAGGCCTCATGCGTCTCAAAGCGGCTGACAATCGCCTTTCCCTTCCTCCCCCCACAAGAGGCACCTTGTGAGGCAGGTGGGGCTGAGACAGTCCCAAGAGAACGGTGACTGGCCCAAGGTCACCCAGCAGGCCTCATGTGTCTCAAAGCGGCTGACAGTCGCCTTCCCTTCCTCTCCCCAAAAGAGGCGCCTTGTGAGGCAGGTGGGGCTGAGAGAGTCCCGAGAGAACGGTGACTGGCCCAAGGGCACCCAGCTGGCTTCATGGGGAGAAGCAGGAAATCAAACCCAAACCCAGATTAGAGTCCGCCTCTCTTAACCACCGCAGCACACTGGAGGATGGGGTGGGGTAAAACTTGGGTGGGCAGAAAAGCATAAAGCCTTTTTCTCTCCAGCCAGTCTTGCATGCTGTCGTCTCTCGGCAAGTAAACAAGGGTTTCTTGCGACATGCAGTCGGACAGAATGTACAAGAGGCGGTGTTTCCTTGCTGTGGTTAAGACCGTGAAAAGGCGCTTGGCATCTCTGTACCTCCTCTGAGCTGGAGCTTGGTATCACTTCAATCTGGTGTAGTGGTTAAGTATACGGACTCTAATCTGGGAGAACCGGGTTTGATTCCCCACTCCTCCACTTGCAGCTGCTGGATGACCTCGGGCAAGCCACAGTTCTGTCAGAGCTGTTCTCGAAAGAGCAGTCCTCAAAAGAGCTCTCTCAGCCCCGCCTCCCTCACAAGGTGTCTGTTGCGGGGAGGGGAAGGAGTTTGTAAGCCGCTCTGAGACTCCCAATCTCTTCTTATTCTCTTCTTTCTTCTCAACTCCTGAAGACCTGCGGCAACCCGACGTCCTTGTTTTGCCGGATTAGGGACGCTTGGTTTTAACGCTTTCAGACGCTGGCCGTTCTTTCTCTCTTTTGAGGCTGGCATCATTTCCCTCCAGATATGAGATAAAGTGGCACTCTTGCGTGGGCAGCGGTCCCCAGACCAACCCAGTCCGGCTGACGTGAAGCAGACCCCCATCTTGAAGTTACCTCCACGTCATGAGCACAACCTTCTTTTTGCCATTTCTGTAGCATGTTAAGATTTGATGATCAAACTTTCCCTGAACTCTCTTCCTCAAGATCTAAAAGGCGGGGCGGGGTGTGTGTGTGTGTGAATGCTTACAACACAGCTAAGCACGGCTGGGTTGGTATTTGAGATGGTGAAATAACGTCTCCTGTAACATGAGCTCCCGCTTCGAAGGGTCAGAGATACACTTCGGTTAAGCGTATACAATAGAATCATTTGGTGCAAACAATGGGCCCGGTAAAATATTTTATTACCGTTGTCCCAGCGTAACTTGAGTTTGCCATGGAACTGCCCCTGTAGAACAGAGCTTGACTCTTGACCAGGTCTTTTGATCTCTTTAAGAATCGGGGGCCTCATATACTCAAATTACTGCTAGATAAAATACTGTAACGTGCTGGGATTGTCTGTTCTGTGTTACCCAAAGTTCTTTATTAGATTATCCTGGCGTAACCAGTAAACAGTTATATTTATAACAAATCTTCACGTTCCCCAAAGTATGTTCCGGGCAGTGTTCCCTCTAAGCTGAGTTAGTGTGAGCTAGCTCAGTTTCTTAGCCTCCGGCTCACACATTGTTTGTCTCGGCTCGGGAAGGAGGGCTCCAGAGCAAACTCATTTATGCAGTAGCCAAATCACTCGCTCACAGCTTTAATGCCGGTAGCTCACAGAATTTTTGCTCACAAGACTCCACAGCTTAGAGCAGGAGTGTCAAACTCATTTGTTATGAGGGCCGGACCTTGTTGGGCCGGGCCATCTGTGTCATAAAATATAATGCCAGGTAGCGGATGTATAAACTTTATAAAGGACACAAACACAAAGTTTTTTTTTTAACTTAAAATAGAAACATGCTTAAAACATTAGCACTCTTGCAATATTTTGTTTATTTAACAGTGTCTGATAACTGACATCTCTCGCTCTGGGTTATTGCATCAAAATGTTTGTGCTGTTGCAATTTTGAGTATGCTGTTCGGGTGTGTATCTGTAAGCTGCAAACCTATGATGACGCACCAGCAGCAGAACTGGAAGAAGACGCATAAGACAGCCAGTTCCACTGCGGGCCTGATAGAAGCCCTCCGGGGGCCTGATCCAGCCCCTGGTCCACATGTTTAACACCAGTGTTCCCTCTAAGCTGAGTTAGTGCGAGCTAGCTCACGGTTTTGTAGCCTCCGGCTTACACATTTTTGTCTTCGCTCAGGAAGGATGGCTCCAGAGCAAACTAATTTATGCAATAGCCAAATGGCTCGCTCACAACTGTGATGCCAGTGGCTCACAAAGTAGAATTTTTGCTCACAAGACTCCACAGCTTAGAAGGAACACTGTTTGACACCCCTGGCTTAGAGGGAGCATCGGTTCCGGGTTACCCGATGATCGTTATTTGTTTGTCCCGGCATAACCGATAAGCAGAACAGTTGTATTTACATCAAATCTTCACATTCCCTGACTGCCTTTAAAACGATGACCTTTTCCCTTTATACCTGCAGTTTGTGATCATCCTCTTGCTGGTCTTTGTCACAGAAGTGGTGGTCGTGGTCTTGGGCTACATCTACAGAGCGAAGGTAAATCGGTCTCTCTTCCCAAACATTTCAGACGCGATCTGCGAAGAGCTGCTCCGGGTTTCGTAAACTTGTACATGGAGGCGCGGGAAATCAGAGAGGGCTGTGGGACTGGAATTACAGGAGTAAAAATAAAGCGGCTCAGTTGCAGAGGGAAGTAATTAGAAATCTTTAAAGAGATAAAGAGCCAGGAAGGAGTAGCGGGGGTCACCGGCGGGTGATAGATTACTCCTTGAAACCTGCTGACTATTTTTAAAGCTGTTCTTTTTCTTGGCGTGGGAGGACCTCTTTTGGTGAAAGCTCAAATAGCTCTCCTCTTCCCTCTCCTCCTCATTTTTTGTTGGTTTCAAAGAGCTTAAATGAGTTTGATGATATACAGATTTATTTTAAAAATATGTGTCATTAGAATATCAGAAGAGCCCCGCTGGATGAGACTAGAGGTCCGTCTCGTCCAGCATCCTGTCTCACACAGCGGCCAGCCAGTTCCTCTGGAGGGCCAACAACAGGGCACAGAGGCCGAGGCCTTCATAAGAGCATTAAAACAGCTCTGCTGGATCAGACCAGTGAGGGTCCATCTAGTCCAGCCTCCTGTCTCCCACAGGGGCCAACCAGTTCCTCTGGAGGGCCAACAACAGGGCAGAGAGGCCGAGGCCTTCATAAAAACATTAGAAGAGCCCTGCTGGATCAGACCAGTGATCCACCTAGTCCAGCCTCCTGTCTTACACAGTGGCCAACCAGTTCCTCTGGAGGGCCAACAACAGGGCAGAGAGGTTGAGGCCTTCATAAGAATGTCAGAAGAGCCCTGCTGGATCAGACCAGTGGTCCATCTATTCCAGCATCCTGCCTCACACAGCGGCCAACCAGTTCCTCTGGAGGGCCAGCAACAGGGCATAGAGGCCAAGGCCTTCATTAGAACATATGAAGAGCCCTGCTGGATCAGACCAGTGGTCCATCTAGTCCAGCATCCTGTCTCACCCAGTGGCCAACCAGTTCCTCTGTAGGGCCAACAAGAGGGCAGAGAGGCCGCGACCTTCCCCTGATATTGCCTCCTGGGATTCAGAGGTTGGCTGCCTTTGAACATGGAGGTTCATTTGTTGCCTGTTAGGGTGTCATGAATATCTCTTGGCCCCCACCCGTTCTTTTCTGGGTCCCAGCCCAGCTAAATCGTCTCAGTCTATGCGGCATGCCTGCAATACTTGCCTTAGATTCGTGTCGCTCCCCTACCCAGAGTCTGAGACATTTCACCCAGCTGATGTGAAACTATCCAAAACAAAGGTGACAACCCCTTTATTGTAGTTTCTTTAAAAGGCAACACCCATGCAGTTTCCTGAGACAGTGGCAATTGGCCATTTGAGGTCATTCAGTGGGGGATATGAAATTTAATTATCCTGGGACCTGAAGCTCGGTGTTGTAGATACCAGATAGAATGGAGACGAAAGGGGGACACAAAACTCAACCCGAAATATGCTGGCCTGAATGTCAGGCTGCTTTAAGAGGCAGAGCAAGCGTGAGCCAGTTTGGTGTAGTGGTTAAGAGTGTGGACTCTTATCTGGGAGATCCGGGTTTGATTCCCTGCTCTGCCGCATGCAGCTGGTGGTGTGACCCTGGGTCAGTCACAAGTTATTTCGGAGCTGTTCTCTCAGGAGCAGTCCTCAAGAGAGCTCTCTCACAGGGTGTCTGTTGTGGAGAGGGGAATAAAAATGAGATTGTGAGCCGCTCTGAGACTCCTTCGGGTAGTGAAGGGCGGGGTATAAATCCAATCTTTTCTTCTCTTCTTCTTCTAATGGCTGTACCTGCCCTTTCCTCTGTTCTCTTTTGTATTTTGGAAACCCAGATCTGACCCTGGAAACAGTTTCTTCCCTGTCCTACATTAGTTGGCATTTTTTTCTTCACCGCGTGTACACGTCGATCAAGTTAAACAGGTCCAAATGAATGTGTTTTGGTTTTCTTCTCTCTCCAGGTGGAAGATGAAGTCAATCACAGTATCACGAAAGTGTATGATGCGTACAATGGGACGAACCCAGACGCCGCTAGCCGCGCCATCGACTACGTGCAGAGACAGGTGAGGACAGGTGCCGTTCCGCCACCCGTACGGTTCTGACACCAAAGTCCCGGCGGTCTGCTAAACGCTATGAGGCAGTGCTCTTCCGTTCCCAGGCTTCTCTTGTGTTCTTATGTCTTATTTCTGGGGCAGTGATGCTCTGTATTCCTGGTGCTTGGGGGGGCCACAGTGGGAGGGCTTCTGGAGTTCTGGCCCCGCTGCTGGACCTCCTGATGGCACCTGAGTTTTGGCCACTGTGTGACACAGAGTGTTGGACTGGAGGGGCCTCTGGCATGATCCAACATGGCCTCTTGTATGTTCTTATGTCTGGGGCAGTGATGCTCTGTCTTCTTGGTGCTTGGGGGGGCGACAGTGGGAGGGCTTCTGGAGTTCTGGCCCTGCTGGTGGACCTCCTAATGGCCTCTGGGTTTTGGCCACTGTGTGACACAGAGTGTTGGACTGGAGGGGCCATTGGCCTGATCCAACATCGGCTTCTCTTCTGTCCTTCAATCCTGTCTCTCCTTTTGGGGAAGCAGCAGAGGAGGGGGTAGTCGGTGGGGGGGCACTCACTGCTCTCTTCAAGCACGGGCAGTCGGAGGAGGAGAAGGGTCAGCCCGAGGGTGGTGCAATGGTAGTGATGCCGTAGCCGGTCCCCGAAATCTCCCCGGCTGTCGCAGCGGCTGAGTTGCACCGGTGGGCGGCGGGGACGACCGGTTTAGGTTTTCACAATGCCGAACGTGACCTTTTTGTGGTTTTGTTTTGTTTTGTTTTTTTAAACAGCTGCACTGCTGCGGGATCCATGACTACACAGACTGGAAGACGACAAACTGGTTCAGAGAGACGAAGAACAACAGCGTGCCCTTGAGCTGCTGCAAAGCCAGCGTCATCAACTGCACGGGGAGCCTGGCTCACCCCGCGGACCTTTACGGCGAGGTCGGCTCCTTTCCGACTTCCGACTTTTTACGCACCCAGAGTGTAGGCTAAGGAAATGAGGCAGGGCAGGCCGTTCACCGGGCTCCGTGAGGATTTGAACCCAGGTTTCGTGAGCCAGTTTGGTGTCGTGGCTAAGTGCGCGGACTCTAATCTGGGAGAACCGGGTTTGATTCCCCCCTCCTCCATGTGCAGCTGCTGGCGTGACCTTAGGTCAGTCACAAGTTATCGCCAAGCTGTTATCTCAAGAGCAGTCCTTGAAAGAGCTCTCTCAGCCCCGCCTACCTCACAGGGTGTCTGTTGTGGGGAGGGGAAGGGGAAGGAGTTTGTAAGCCGCTCTGAGACTCCCTTGGGTAGTGAAGGGCGGGGTACAAATCCAATCTCTTCTTCTTCTTCTTCTTCCCTGTTATTCATTTCTCTGACCCACACATTTCCGATTCAAGTAAATGCTCGCCGGCATTTGCCTTACCCGAGGTCCGCTGTTTAATTGGAACCAGTGTTCCCTCTAAGCTGAGTTAGTGTGAGCTTAGCTCACAGTTTTATTAGCCTCCAGCTCGCACATTTTTTTGTCTCTGCTCAGGAAGGAGGACTCTGGAGCAAACTAATCCATGCAGCAGCCAAATCGCTCGCTCACAACTTTAATCCCATCCGCTCACAAAATGGGATTTTTGCTCACAGGACTCCACAGCTCAGAGGGAGCATTGACTGGAATCCAGGCACAAATTATTTGAGAGCCTCCAGGTTTTGTGAACGACTTTGGAATGTAACGGTGGTGGTGGAAAGCCTTGTCAGGTCGCAGGTGACTTGTGGCAAACCCCGTAGGGCAATGTTCCCTCTAAGCTGTGTGGTCTTGTGAGCAAAAATTCTACTTTGTGAGCTACTGGCATTAAAGTTGCGAGTGAGCAGTTTGGCTGCTGCACAGATTAGTTTGCTCTGGAGCCATCCTTCCTGAGCTAACACAAAAATCTGTGAGCTGGAGGCTAGAAAACTGTGAGCTAGCTCACACTAACTCAGCTTACAGGGAACACTGCCATAGGGTTTTCAACTGCCATAGGGGTTTCAAAGCAAGAGACTCTGAGAGGTTGGTTGCCCTTGCCTGCCTCGGCGTCACGGCCCTGGTATTCCTTGGTGGTCTCCCTTCCAAGTACAAACCAGGGCTGACCCTGCTTAGCTTCTGAGATCTGATGAGATCGGGCTGGCCTGAGCCATCTAGCCCAGTGTTCCCTCTAAGTTGAGTTAGTGTGAGCTAGCTCACCGTTTTTTAGCCTCCGGCTCACACATTTTTGTCTCAGCTCAGGGAGGGTGGCTCCAGGGCAGACTTAATTTATGCAGCAGCCAAATGGCTCGCTCACATCTTTAATGCCGGTAGCTCACAAAGTAGAATTTTTGCTCACAAGACTCCACGGCTTA